CTGCTTGTCTATCTTGTTGCTTCACTTGTCTCCCTCCTTGTCTCCCTCCTTGTCTCCCTGCTTGTCTAAACTCACAAAATCATGGTGGGTTGAAAACTTTTAACATCTTTTGACCAAACAAGGCATGATAAAGCCACATGTCAGTGCAACTCAACATCTTCAATAGGCTTGCGTGCGTTCTGTGTTTGTCTGAATTGCCGGTTCTGACATTGAGCCAATTGAGCCGAGTGCTGAAACAAGCACAGAAGGGAGCTGGAACGGTTTGAGCCGTTGACTGTTTGACACTTCGTCTCTGTGGCTTGCTTCACAAACGCACAAACTGTTCGGGGTCTACGCTGGTATACCCGCCGGAACCGGAGTTGGATGGACGAGTTGGTTGACTGACATGAAGGTGCCCGACGACGAAGTCGGATGTTCGGAACAACACATCAAATGGATGCATGTACTCATGGCATTCTTGGAGAACCCCAATCCATCATGAAAGCGATGAGTCCATCGGCTTCGGAAGAGCTCGATTCTCGAGATCCGCAGAAGATCCTCTGCAAATTTTTTGCAATGTTTGGTGGATGTGCCCAGGCTTGCATGTTTGGTGGTCCGGATCTTCGAATAGCTCAGGTCTCAAGAGCCTTGGCCACAACTTGCATGACAGATTCTGTAACGGGTGAAGTCAAGGTTTGCTGTGAAGGTTTGTGAGGATTCAACAGAAAAATAAGTGGGATTATGTTGGGTCTGTCCGTTCTTACCTGTAACAGTCAGTAAACAAACAAATTACCATTTTTGAACAAGGCCTGCAACTGAACCATCATCATCCACTTGGCCCATGTAGGCTCGGATAGACCCAAGGCTTATGAATTGGGGGGAAGTTCACCCTGGGAAGGGCACACGAGTGGCATCAGGCCCTGCACATTTGTACCAACAGCTCAGCCAAGGATGTTCTCCCAGGCAAAGGGCATGTGGATGAATCAGAAAGCGGAGGCTGTGGCATGTGGGAGGGTCCGCACTTGTTGTAATTTTGCATATGTACACCACATCTATGTGGTTTCCCAATGGAAGGCCTTCCTTCTTTTTGAGCAGTGCATTCTGCCGGCCAACCCAAGAAACTTGATCCACGTTGATCCATTCTCCATGTCTACTCCAGGGCAAGAGTAGCCTGAACCTGTCCACATGTTTTCTTCAGTGGAGGAAGGAGTCCATGGAGTCCAAGTTCCCTTCTTGACGAAGCAACATCTCCGAATGTCGCTTCCTTCATGCCACCTTCCTTCGGCTGCAAGGCTGGGCGGTCTTCCCTCACCTATGTGAAGACTGAGGACGGATTTGGATGATGAGAGATTATTGGGCAACAGCAGCCATGGTGGGCGGCAGCATATTGTGACTGTTGTGCCAAGTCGATAGCACAGCCCAGAGCTTCACTCAGAGGTTTTGTGTGCAGAGTGCTTGGAAGGTAGGTTATCTCAAAAACCGCAACCTTGGACCATCCTGGACGAGAGACGATTTTTCCACCGGTTTTCTGGCCGCTTTCTGCCGGGCCTCCTTCCAGGGTTCGGAGGCTTTGGCTGAAGGAACACCCACCAATCTGCCATGAAAAAAAAAACAATCTTCTCCTCGCAATGACCCTGTTCTGTTCTGCTGAGTCCTGCTGCACTGCTAGTGCCAGGACAGGACTCAGGAGGAAGGCACCTATGAACGCTTACGCCACGAGTGGTTTGCCATGTACCTCTCTTCGGAGGTTCGCTTTGCCGACGTGTGACGTGTGACGCGCGGGGTGCACCGGAGGTTGTGCCGGAGGGTTGCCGTTGACAGAGGCTCCAGAGGCTTTCTGGGTGTGTTTGGGCGATCTGGGATGGTTCATGACGGAGAGCCCAGTGGAATTGGTGGTCAACTGCAGCAATTACTAGAGACAAAATACATGAACGCTTCGTGGTTGTGTTGAGAATCGTGACCAGGAAGCCAAGCCAACCAAGCCAACCAAGCTTCGATTCATTCTCTTAATTCAAGTTGATCCATCTATCATCTATGTTCTGAGAATTCACCTTTGGGCGAGGCCACCCTTTGGGGGTCAACTCGCCGGCCGCCAAAGTCGTGCGACGATGGGTGGAGACTCGGCAAGGTCTTGGATCCCGGGCACAGCGGGTGTCAGGACCCTCGGTGGCGTGACCCGCCGGGTGGCTTGAGCCGGATCAACAGAGACCATAGATAAGGGTCTTTCAAAAAGGATTGTATGGTGTCACGGTGTCATGTAAAGTTCATGCAAGCAGCAACAATTAGTGCTTGTTTCCTGATGTTTCCCGCTTCATTCAATCGATTTGGCCAACTTCTAAGCCGCTTGTAGCCTCAGCTTGTAGCTCCGCAGGAGCATCGATCTGGAGCACAAGCTGCTCAGATTGTCATGAGACCCGAATTCTATGAGAAGACGATCGAAAGACAAGATTTCTTTGTCTCCTTGATCGGAGAGGTAGGGCTTGCAAAATGCATGTTTACAAGTATTTATGTTCTTCGAGGCGAAGCATTTTCAAATTCCAGGGGTGACGAAAAACACACTCCGCCCAATCCTTCCCACCTTGGATGTCAGGTGGGTGGTGCGTATGGCATTGTCTCCACCGTCTTCTTCGGGCTCTACATCTTGCTATGGAACCTAGAGTTTGGCTACAACCACCGTGAGGATATTGCTAACTCCCTCGGCCACCACGAGGCCAAAGCCGAGGCCAAAGCTTTGACGGAGGTCCGGTTGGAGGTCCCCGTGGAGAAACCCGAGAAAGTGCCGGACAAGCTGCCGGAGAAGGTGCCGGGACTTCCGGAAGAGTGGCTGTTTCGGGTCCTGTCAGTGAGTTGATTGGAGGCATGCGGCACATTCCTTAGGTCCGCCAGTGCAGGCTCCAATACCACCTTGTGCAACATTGGTGTCCAACCCCCAAACTGGCTGAGAGGCAAATTTTTTCAAATTAGGCCAGTAGGTTGCGGCTCTGCCCGCAAGGCTACACCATACTTGGGGGAATCACAGGGGTTTCATAGTTGCTCTTTTCATCTCTTTCCTCTACAGTAACAAGTGCATCTCTACTAGCTACTAGTAGTAATGCCAGGAGCTACGAGTAGCATCTTGTTACTAGTAGTAAGGCACCTTGCTACTGATTCTCTCTCTCTCTCTCTCTTTCTTGCTTTCTTTCTTCCTTTCTTTCTTGCTTTCTTTCTTTTGAGACAAGGCAAGTTTAACTCGTGTTGGATCTGACTCTTCGACCATCGATGTCGAGGCGCCCATTGACTGGGACGACGATGACTTGGTCATGGAGCCACGAAAGGAAGCGGTTGTGTGAGACGTGCCGAGGTGTCGGTCTTCTAAGGCGGCCGTTGGCGATAGACCCAGAGTTGGATGAAGGAGTCCCAAGGAGTCCGAAGGAGTCGGAGGTCTTTATCTTCTTCGTTTCTGTAAGGGAAAGACACTAAGATGATGAGATGACGTTCATTTTGTGTGCCAGCTCAGAAGCAGCTTCGGGTCACTGTATCAAGTGGCAACTTCATCCAGAGCAGGTCACTCTTGGGAGGGTCGTCGTAACTGACACTGCAAGAGGTTTTAGCGAGCTGGCGGCCTGCATCCCAAAGCACCCCAGCTGGGATGGGGCATCCCTACTCCCGGCGCAGTTCTGTTCTTGACAAGGTGAAGAGAGCAGGTCAGAGTCCAATAATTGGGTGGACAAAAAGAACACCCACTGGACGTCTTTTTCTTTTTCGGTTTTTCTAAAGCAAGTGTGTGCTGCGCTGGGTTGAATTCAAGTCCTCCTCTTTTTCTCTACGAATTTTCAAGTGAGAGGAGTTTTGATCGCTGTTCTTTTCACCAGCGACCCACATCCAGTGGCTGGCTAGCGGCTTTCAGCTACCAGCCACTGGTTCCAATCGTCGGCCCCTAAGGGGCCGAGATTTGGCACCGTGCCGATTCCGAGCGAGGCGAGGCAAAAAGGCCATAAAAGTGATGGAGTTGGTGCCTCTTCTCGCTGCCTTTGTAGCCCCACAGCCCCACAGCCATCCCTTGGGGCTTCTGAGATCCTATGTCCTCAGGTCTGAGTCCTCCACCGAAGCAACCAACAGAACCATGCCAGCTGCCGCTGCAGGTGGTTGCACTTGTGTTTTTGGCTCCTCAGCAATAGCACCATAGCCTATGCTTATAGCGCTTTCGTGCTGAGGGTGCACAAAGGACTAGCATGCCAAGATGATGACCCTCAGCCTCAGCTAGCCACCAATCATCAGAGATGAAACTCAGCATGAGCCCGGCCGGGCCCCACGTTTTCCTAGGCTTTTTCAGATGTTTGACTTTCTACTTGCTTCCAGTCCCTAAACCCTAAACCGGCTGATAACGGGGATTCAACTTCTCAACGAGTCTTTTGGGGGACTCGAACCATGCGCTTCTACGATGGCCGCAAAGGCGCGGTGTTCAGATCCGGCAAGGTGCCGCCTTGCCGGACGCGGTGATACGGGCGGCCCAATGGATGACCTGGGGTTTGGGGGGCGTTCTGCTTGGGAGCGGGGCAATTGGCTTTTCCGGGCTTTTCGTGGTTTTGGTGCCAACGGCCACGTGGCCATAGATCCGCCAGAGATCTGGAGGTGCAGCTGCGGTTGGAAAATCAGAGGGGATCGGAGGATCACCCCGGTGCGAGTTCGCATCAAGAAGAATTCCAGCCCATTGCTTTCAAGAGAACCAACACTTCCATAGAAAAACCCGAAAGCTCCCCAACTGTGGAATTGTATAATTGTTGCTTGATGTTTCCAGACTCAGAGGACTTCCCAAATCAGCACGTTTCCCAGCTCTCCAGACCATTCTCAGACGTCCATTTGCCCCTTGCTGTTTTGGAGGCCACTCTGAAGGGGTTGGCAGGCGTGGAGTACTGAAGCGATGTCGAGCGAGCGTTCGTACCTGTGCTTTGGCACGTACCCGTGCTTTGGCCCCCCCCAAAAGCACGGTTGTTGTCATGAAAGGACACACGCGAAGAGTCAACAAAGTTGCAACATGGTCAAGGGAGTTGCTTTTGCCTTTGATTCGTGCTTACTGAACGCTGTCATCCCCCAAGAGGACCATCGAACGCGGCAGAGAAGAAGAAAAGACCGAAAAACAACCAACAACACACGAATCAGTGGCTTGAGTTCTTCAGGAATAGGGGAGGCGATGACCCGCCAGACGTCGCGCGACGGTCCGAGCGAGTCCGTGCGAGTCAGGACGCGAAGTGCCGGTCGCAGCAGCACTGCTGAGCAGCATTATTCTCCGCTGGTGGAGGATGGGTTTGGGCACGAGTCACCAAGTGGATATCAATTGATAACATTTATGATATTTTTTTGTGATATAAACCTCTATATATATATATATATATCACGAAAGCCAGCCGATAGGCAAGGCTTGAGGTAGCTATGCGAACGAAGTGAGTAAAGGGGGTGTGGGGGGGGTGGTTGCGAGAGGGGCAATCTTGGAGAGGCTGACCCAGAGCCTGGTGGCACCGCAAAAAAAGAGATGGCCAGGAGGTAGTGAAAGTGAGTACTGTAGTTTTTGGGGTGTTGTAGTTGAATAGTGCATCATTGGCATCATGAGGGGCTCAGGAGGCAATGTAAACCGTTTTCTACAAGGGGTGGGAGTTCATGTCGATGACAGGAGGCCACGGGACACGAAAAGTGGCTGGAACTCCTCCAGGAAAGGGGGATGTGCGTCTCTGGTGGCCTGTGTCTCTTAAGACACTGTGTGACCCTTGAGGGCAGGAGAGGGAACAGAATGCCGTGGGGAAGGTGGAAGACAGGCACAGCGGAGGAGGACGTGCTCCTGTCAACCATACGCAAAAGGGCACCCCATATGGGGTGGAATTGCTTGTGGGTGCCCTTTTTTAACGGTGAAGAGGTCTAGTAGCCAGACTCAAAAGGGCACCCCATATGGGGTGGGAGTTCAGGTGGATGAGACAGGCATAGCGGAGGATAGGAAAAGAGGCAAGAAACGATGTGACCCATTGAGAACAGGGAGGGAGCAGAATGCAGCGGGCAAACTTTGAGTTGCTTGGAGGTGCCCTTTTTTATGGTGAAGAGGCCTGTTGACCAGACGCAAAAGGGCACCCCATATGGAGTGGGAGTTCATGTGCAGGATACGCATAGCGGGCAGGATGTGAGCCAGGGATCTCGCACTCACCCCCCATGACTATATTGATATTTTTTTCGGTGGCTGGCTTTCATCCCCTCCCTTCTCAGGTGTATATATATATATATACTGTATATATTTATGTAGTGATCTATATCCACAAATCACCGCCAGATATCGCCAGATGAATCGTTCTGGCAGAGAATGGTGCCTATTGACTGGGGAAATTTTCCGTTTTTGAGAATTTTTGGACGTCCCGTTCCTCCCCAAAGTCAGCTTCGCCCGCGATGCTCCAGGACACGGAACACGAAGAGACCAAGGCTGAAACCGGGCCGAAGCCGGGCTGAAGTGGCACCCGTGCGCAAAGCGCGGGTGCCGAAGATCCACTGGAGACCGACTAAGACGTGTTTATTATTACTATTTTTAAATTAGTGAGTCAACATGAGTTCATTTGGGATGTCCTGCCTTTTCATCACGCCATTGAGCGATATATAATCAAAGATTGGGAGAACCCGCGGAAGGAAGGTCGACCAGAGGGACTGCCATCGACCTGAAGAGGCCCATGCATGATCCCACAAGAGGTCGGCACGGCACACGGCGCGCGGTGCACCAAGCCAGGCTGGCTCTGTCCCAGATGAGGACTTGCCCAAGGCAAGGAATCGCTGAACATCACGATGGATCAAAAGCTTGAAAGAGAGGCAACATGCCTCCAGGTCATCAGGGTTCACCCACATGGTGCCATGTGTTTGACTTGAAGGCACAACACTAGTAGTGTTTGACTTGAAGATCTAGAATCTAGGCTGTCCTCGGCAAGTAGCTTTCCAGGAGGTAGTCCCAAGACCTTTTGCTAAGACCCGAAGGATGTCGCACCTAAATCTTTGTGATTTGTGATTTGAGTGAAACCCGAGTGACAGGAGCCTCTGTAGGTACAAGGGAAGTAGATAGATGAACTGCTCTTGCTTGATGGCCATTCTCTTGGTCTTTGAAGACGCTTGGCGCATGACCACTGGCACCAGGTGGCGGCCAGTAAAGCCATTTCCGTGCTGAAAAAGCCGGAGCCCTGGAAGCGATCGAGTCCATGTGGGCGAGCATGAGCATGCTTTGCCCACCCCTCCACTGTGGAACAGCCTTCAGAGCCCAACGTGTCTTTTTCGGCGGGTTTTCACGCCGCACCTCTTCTTTGCGGCTTTTGAAGCCAAGCAGCCAGGATGGAGCACGACGGCTTCTGCAGCATCGAAGCGGATTCTGCCTGGAGGGCTCGGGCATAGCGATCGGCCTGGAGAGGGCCGATCGAAAAAGCAAAGCCGAGATTGAAGTCAAAGGATGAACTACATGTTCACAAGTCGTTTTGTTCCTATTGTAGGGGGTTCGTTGTAGAAAGATTCACCCATTTCCTCATTGCAAATGATGAACTCAGACCGTTGAAGATCTGGAAGAGGGGCTGGAGCATCCAAGAAATGATAATCTGATAAGGATTGTCACACACCTATGGTCTATGGCAGATGTGCACATGTTTAGCTTTAGCAATATCAATATGATCATGCATATCATTGCAACTTGTTATTTAAAGATATGTATATAATCCAAAGAATGTCAGCATTTTGCTAGAGGCCCCATCTCTTCACAGTCAACCCTGGAATCTTGGGTGGGTGGGGGCTGTGCGGGGTGGGGTGAAACCTAACCTATGACATTATGACATACATTCGCCAAGAAACACAGCGTCCTCCAGCTTTCTCTCCCTCTCTCTCTCAAAACTCTGGGTCCCATGAAACCCCAGGTCTACGGCGCTGCCGTCGCAATGCCGCAGATCGCGCGGAGCGCGGGGCCAAGCGGGCTCGCCACAAAAAGCGGCCAGTCGGTGAGAAAGATGCGATGCAGCTAACAGTGCTTCTGCGGAGTTGCCTTGCTACCTTTGAAACCTCCCGCTATCCATCTTGGAAGGGTCCGTTTTGGAGCGAAGTTCAAGACCTAGACCGGTCTGTGAGGTGCTTTGTGTGTGTTGTTTTGACCGGTTCTTGTCATTCTTTGCCGCTTCTTTTGTTCAAGATGCCCTCTCAGAATGTTCTCTGACTCGGAAACTCGCAACTAGAGTAGTCATCATTCATCATTGGCACACAGGTTTGTCATGGAAACTCCCAGGCTTGTGTGTGCTTTGGGTTGGTGGTGTGGTTTGGCTGCCCCACCTTAAACCCAGGATTTCTGAGCTCTAAATTCGCGTGATCAGAGGCTGCGGATGGCCCGGCTCCCTGATTTCTGTGGTGATCCGCGTGTACTTCTTCACGATGTCAGGGAAGCCAAGGTGAAAGCTTGCATGCGGAAGAGTTGGAGACAGCGGAAGAGCATCATTGAAAGCGACATAAAGCAGGGAAGTCCACATCAACTTGGTTGCTCTTCATGTCAAACATGTTTCGGGGAGCTCAAATAATGGCTCAAATTGATGTGAGCAAGTTGTTTTGTCTACGTGATCTTGTAAACTTGGACGCCCAGTTTCTGAAGATTGATATACTGTATCTCGTCAGGGAAACCTGACTTGAATGCCTTTGCTGCACGATGAGGTTTCATGGGCATCCAAGTTTCATCTTTTGTTGGAATACAGGTTTATGGCTCTGATTATGTTATTCTTTGTACTGGTAATTTCTATAATTTTTCCCTCTCTTTGTCTCTCCAGGCCATGCAGTTGGCTAGTCCTGGGTATGGGCAGCTTGTACCTAGGCTTAACTTCTTGATGCAGGGTTTCCTGCTCTCGATGATCGGGGAGGCGGGGGACCCTCCCGGGTGGTCAGTGGTCGCCTTTCGTTCCTAAGCGATCCAAACGGACGAAATGAAACGATTTTGGCCTGAGCAACAAACGCCTTGGGCTAAAGCCTTTGACGTGGTTTTTCCATCCTGGCACCATTCTGGTATGACGGGACATTTGGCGTTCGTTTTTGGACAACTTGGGCTAAAGCCTTTCTCCTCGGGCTGGCAGGAGCAGCTGATGATGTACCCTTTCGCGGGGCCTTTCGGGCTGCAGACAGCAGACAGGGACAATGGTGGGGGCACGAAGCAGGAGCAAAGCAGGAGAATCCAGCTGAACTGAGAGAATTTGAGGAGGCGTCTTCGCCTCCCATGCTAGTGGGCAGCCAAAGTTAGGGGAAGAAGCGCTGTTTGTTGCTACGAGATGGGCGAGGCTGCAAGCCAGCTACCTTGGAGAGCTTGGAGATGGATGAACACCCAGTGCTTGGATACGAGGTGGACACATTCTCAAGAATCGGATGACGTCAGAATGACCTGGCTGCCGTGAATGATACACAGTCAGTTTATTTTTCTGCCAACATGTTCTCATACTTTTGCTTCATTCAAAAGCTGAGTGAAAGCCAAGCAGCTACCCAGCAAAGCGTCCGAAGTCATTCAGATCGGCCTCGGACTCCGCCCAGGCAAATGCACCTGTGCGATTTCGGTGCCTCGATCAAGGCTGAGACTGAGACCCACCGATGGATGAGCACATTTGAGAGCTCAAGTCTGGACATGTACTGAATCCGAGAATCTTTTCACATTTGTTTCACTTATGGTCATTTCTTAGACTCTTAAACTGTCCCACTCACAAAAAGAAACTCGGTGCGGCCAGGAGTGCCCAGATGCCCCCAATTGCAAGGGGCCGATGGGCTGGAGGCTGAGGTTTTCTTTTTCGCAGGGAAAGAACTTGAGCAAGGCTAGGGCCGCTAAGGGTCATGGCATCCGTTGTTCTTGCCAGTGTGACTGTCACTTCAAAAGACAACATATCCTTGGGAGATTCTTGGCTGCTGGAGCTTTGCACGATGATCTCCTGGTTGGCTTGCGATCCAAGAAAGGAGCACCTGACCATACTTCCTGCAACCATACTCCAACTGTTTCAGGGCTGGGTTTTGGGGGCCCTTGGCATCCAAGTTCGGTCGAAGTTCAATATGCACCCTCTATCGGGAACCTTTTTCCTTTGCAAGACCCAATATTTCTGTCAATCCACGTCCATTTTTGGAGGGGTAGGTCCTTGTTAGGTCGTGCCCTGAAACCAAGGCACCACCTACTCCATGCCTCGGCTCTATAGCTTTCCCATCTGGAGCACGCGGGTCTTCGTGAAAGATAGCCTCAAGGCAAGAACCGCGGTCAAGAGTTGCACTGTGGGCCAGTTGGGTCTCGTTATGGTGCATTTTGGTGCTGTGGGAGAGAGTTTTTTCTGTCTTTTTTTCGGCAGACTGGGGTTTTGCAAACTGCTTGTGGTGGATACACAAGCACTTGCAGATGGTCAGAGAGTGCATGCGCTTGATGATGATGATGATGCAAGTGCGAAGGCCATACGCTTAAAACTGCTCCTTACATGGCGGAACTCGACCTCACCACCCAACCATGAGAGGTTCACATTTTTCCTTGCAATGTGAACTTTGACCTCTTAAGACCTCCTTCAAAAAAGAATGACAAAAGGTCAAGAACCTCACGTCGGGATCCCAAGATCTGGTTGGGACCCAGCGCTACGCCTGCCAAGACCCATCGGTCTTTCAGGCGATCTTCCCGGACCTCGCGGAAGAGATTGACGCCAAGGTGGACCCTGGTGAGCCAGGGGCGCTCAGAACGTGCCTGGACGGGGGGGAAGATGGGAAGGTGGGCGGGGCGAGAGGAAGTGGAGGGCGGTGGAGTGTAGAGAGGTGGAACGAATGTAAGCTCTAAGGTGAAAGCTGTGGTCTTTGCCTGGGACCAGCTACCGTAGATGACGTGCTGTTCATATTGAAGAAGATCCAATTGATCCAATTTTGTTGAAAAAGACTCGTTGATCGCCCGCTGCAGGTATGGCTTAGAGAGCTACCACTGTCGTTTAGCACGGATGCCTAGACCCGGTGCCTAGAGCTGGGAGGCCTAGACCTGGTGTGGTCTGGTGTCTCTGGTGTGGTTTTTGGGATGTGTCCTGGTATCGCAAGCCATGCTGTTTTTGGTCGAGCAAGGCACGGAGAGACAGACACGTCGTCAATTCCCTTCCGCAGGAGGGCCAAATTGGCTCAGGCGCCTTGCGCTTTCTGAGGTTGATATGTGCCAGCGGTTTCTGAGAGGGGTTGAATGTTTAGAAAGTTCAGGAATGGTTGGTGGAGGTGTCCAGAACTAGTTGCAAGTGGATATCGTGAAATTGGTGATACAGGAAGTGGAGAGGCCATAGAATGTTAAGCTATTGTTTGCTTATTTTCATTTCACTTGTGATGAGCGTCAAAAACCAGGTTTGAAGACCAAGATGATGTACCAAGTCTCTTCTGTCGGACAAAGACGATGATCAGATCACTGTAAGATCATGCGATAGGACCACATGGGTGTTGTCGTTTGCATGATGTTGGGGTGGAGACGGGCATGCGTGATGGACGAGTCAACCCTCCCCGCAAATTGACCCACTATAGACGACTTGCATGAGGGAACTGAGTGTTAGACATTTCTCACGCCATCTTCGTCGCGGCTGCATCCTCACCGCGATGGCTTTCTTTCGGCAGCTCTTGCAGAGGCCCGACAAGTGGTCTGTTCAGCAAACAGATGGCTCTTGTGCCACTCCTCGCCTGTAACAGGGGACAAGACTGGAGACCTTCAGCTGGAAGCACCACAAAAGCACTATTTGCATGAAAGCAAAAGGCATTCTTGGATATTTTGTAAACACATTGACATGCTTGGTTGTGATAACAGGGAGACTTTCAAGCAAGACCCCATGGGAAGAGCAAGACTAGACTACAACACACTAAGACATACTGACATACTAGAACCACCCTAAAACCCCTGGGGCCAAGAGAAATCTAATGGTTTTCCATGGTTTTCCACACCCCTTTCTTCTGATCCCATGCGCTTGCTGGTCAACAGCTCCGTTTCCCCCCGTCCTTGGGTGAGGTACCGGGAGGCCTCGAAGGCAAGACCATTGGCGGTGGCGTTTGTGACCTGCTACGGCAAGGGCAGCGCCTCAGATCTGGTGGCGCAGATGGTGGTGGAGAGGATGGTGGCGCAGATGGTGGAGGGGAATGAGGAGGAATGTGGATACATAAGTGGTGGGAGAAAAGGCGTTGGACCTAATATGGTGGGTGAAGGTCTAGCTAGATGAGCTGTGGACGTGTGGGGCGTTTGCAGCTCAGAGAGCTCAAGATGCCTGCAGATGGTTTTAACCTGCACGCAACTTGGATTGACACCAGACATAGCATGCTTGGACTCATACCCCCGCCATGTCCGCCATAGTGAATGCGTGCCTGTTAGATCGTTTAGATCGTTTAGATTGAACCTTCTCAAGTTAGGGTTCCCTTTCGTTGCTTTGGGTCTCTTGAGGCTTTGGAGGCCATCGCTATTAGGTTGGAGGCCATACAAAAGGATTTCGGGGATTCTGGAGACTTCATCCGCTCACTTCGGCAACCCAACTGGTTCGAAGCGCAGGAAGGCTCGGCCGTCCCTGCAGCGGAACATGGCCTTCGCACTCTTCAGCGGCGCCTATTTGGGCATAGGCCGTGCCGCAGAGATGGCTGAGGGTGGCTGAGAGGGCATAGCCCGTAAACCTCACGGCGATGCGAAGGGTATTGGGGCTTGTGATTTTGCCTCTTGTGATTCTGGTGGGTCAAACCCGCAGCAAGGCAGATGCAGAAGAAGCTCGAGTGAACCAACGTGCTTGTGAAAGGAAAGCAGAAAGCACCTTCTCTCATCTTCACTTTTTCTCTCATCTGCACTTTGTCAGATTTCGACGACTCTGCTTCTCTCTTTCCAGTGACCCACGCTTCTCTCTGGAAGTGGAAGGGGGATGGACCGGACAAGTGGCAGGTCAACACTTTGTGTACAACATCGCCTTCACCCGGCTCTTTGGCGCAGGCATGGACCTACGCGTCGGGATGCAAAAGGTGACGGCAGACCTCGTCTTCCATGTGCCTGGAGTGTGAAATCAGAGCGCTTTTGGAGTGATTTTAGAGCCGGAAAGGATGTCTGTGTGTGGAACAAGAAGCATACCCTGTTGATTGGCCAACTTGTATTACTAGCGGCTTTTGTCTGCGTTTATTTATTTGCTTGTGGTTTCAACACCCATGTAGGGATGGTCCGCTTCAGGTGCCGTTCATGTACTTGCCGCTCTACTACATGTTCGAAGACACTGCTTTGGGCGTGGGCAACCCCTTCAGTGGTCTGCAGCGCTGGTGGAATGAGCTACCAGGAACCATGGCTGCTTACGCCAAGATTTTCCCCATGTCCCTGAGCTGAATCGGCCTATTTCATTTTTTGGAGGTTTATGTTCCACAAACTTCCCCTGTACTAAGGGAACATAGACAATCCTCCACGGCACTCCAAGCAGAAAATTGACCAGATCCATGCTTTCTCCGGAAGTGGTTTTCCTCTTGTCTCAGCGTTGCCCCTCCAGGTTTCACCTCTTCAACTTCACCGTCACACCTCCTGAGCTTCGGATTTCTCTCATCGCGTGCGTCTCGTTGCTTGCAGCTTTTGGCTTTCGAAACGTGCGGAAGGAACCCGAACGGTTGCGCCTGGTGTCTGTTTCTTTTTAGGGCCTCCCTGAATTCCAAACCCGCTCTCTGGCAGTTCTCATTTTCTAAAGCTGTGACAGACACAGTGTCTTCCACAGTTTGACCAAGGGTGATTCAGATGCACCATGTGGAACCGAGGTTCGTATGGCTGGTGGTCTTATCTTACATCTCCCACGATGCTGTGGAACATCCATCGCACAAGGAGGAGTAGGGAGATGCCAAAGCCCTTGGTCCATCCCTTCGCCCTTCGCCCGTGGCGCCCGCGGTACGTCTTCTTTCGGAAGCCAAAGCGAGCCAACGAAGAGCCGAGCCAATGGCAGGGAGTCCATTGTGGTGACCAGATGCGGAGGGTGCCAAAGCGACATCGATTTCTTATGCTCGAATCCTGGAAAAAGAGCATGAGCCGTGCTCGAAGGAACCTGCCGGAACGTCCACTGCTCGAAGGAAGCTGTTCGAAGAGACGCCGAAAGAAGACCACCTCTTTGAGTTCATGACATCCCTGGAGTTTGGCTGCACAGAGGTTTCTGATGAAAGTATTCCTCTTCAGGACTCCAGACAGAAAAGGACGCAACCAGTCCCCTGCCGAAGATCCAAATCCCACCAACGTCTCAACCAGACCCACTAACCAGTCACCCTCCAACCAAACCAGTCGCGTTCTCCAAGGCCTGCGTCTTTCTCTTCATGCTGGCGGTGGCCGAGGACCTCAAGGAGTCCATCGGCCTCGCCAGGCGCGGCGCGGGGCCCGGGTCGAGGCGCCCAGCGGTTCCATGAAGGGCACGCTCTAGGTGAAGTTCCATGAAGATGAAGCGGCTGGGAGGGTGCTCAACTCTCTAAGTACCTAGTTAGTAGGTTTCTTGAAAGATCTTGAAAGGATGTATGAGGACTTGACCTGTTGAGCTGACACCCAGCGGACTTAGCGAGGCCTGGTGGATACTGCCTGGCCGCCAGGACCTTGTGGCGCCTGCCCTCACGCTCCGACCCCTGGATCTCGTGCCGTCGCCGTCGAGGGGGACACGGTGGTGGTGGTAGTGGTGGCGGTGGTGGTGGGGTGGGTGGGTGAATGGGTGGGTGGGTGGGTGGGTGTGTGGGTGGGTGTGTGGGTGGGTGTTGTGATGATTGATTTTTTATGTGCTGTTTCCTTTGGTGTTCAAGTTTGGATGGTCCAAGGCAATCTTGCATGTGCTTTTTGGTGGTGCGTTGGTTGCTTTTACAGTGGTGTTGAAATGCTTTAGGTGAGAACTGGTTGGATGATGTTGGTTGTGGCAACACCTTCCTAGCCAGTCGCTTCATGCAAGCCGGACGCTCTCGATCCTGGACCCGGGACAGGTACTCATGGCCCACATGGGCCAGCAAAGAGGAGGTCAAGAAGATCAAGGAGCGAAAAAGTCCCAAAAATGTGATGCTTTTCTCACAGGTGTTGTTCTTGGTTTTTGTGATACCCCTAAGAAGCAAGGTTTCAGTCCCAATTTGCCATGTGGTTTGTTCTTGAGCGTGTGTGCCTGTTGTCGTCTATAGGGTGAAGATGCAAAGAATTCCAAGGGAAGGTCATCTCAAATGAGTTAGTTCACAGAACCTGATGAGAGGGTCAGGCGAAGCTTCATGAAGGCCTCCTCCTTGATGGCGTTGTTCCTTCATTCACATTGAACTCTGATGGCACCTGACTCTGCCCTTTCTGCCACTCTGTGATCGGGTTCAGGCGAATTGTGTGGTCGATACAATAAGCAACATGGTGTGTTGGAAAATGCACAGACACAGACAGACGCAAACACAGACACACGCAGATGGTCAGTTCACATCAGTTCTCCTGCTGTGCGAGGAGATCAATGAGCTCGACTGTGTGGGGAGTCCTCAGAAGCGGGCACCTCCTTGCTTTCACAGGAGTGACACCCTCCGACTCACCAATGGAAACTGACCCCCGAGCGGACAGGGTGGAAACACCACTTCCATGTCATGTGTTTTTCTTTGATGTTCTTTGTACGGATTTTTCCAATTGAACGAGCGCAACGTCTTCACCTTGGCAAGGCTTTGCAGCGTCTCCAACATAGTTGGCCGACGATATCTTGGGCTGAAAAAAGCACTTTGAGCATGACCCTCCCTTGTGGGGGAGACCGTTGGCCCTTGGCTTTTTGGGGAGTTCGGACCTGGCCGATGGCCGATGGCACGAGACAAACCGGCCCAAAACACCCGGCCAACCGGTCTGGATAGAAGGACGTGAAGCACTGGGAAGCGCATCCGAGGTGAAGTTTCATGTGGCTGGTATCCCGACCGCTTGGAAGGCCCTGGTGTCCTGTGGCCTTGGGTCTGAAAGGGGAAAAGATTTGGAGCAGCAGATTTGGCCTGGGATCACTGTAAGTAAAGGTACAGAAAGGGAGGGGCACTTCACATTATGGTCCTTGTTTAAATGGCTTGGGTCAAGAACACCCAGCAGCGAATTTGAAAGTACCTAGGGGTAGATCACGATCTCGTCCAAGTTGTTGGCATGATGGGAGCGCCCGAGGGTTTGATCTCCCTTAATTTCGACAAATCCCGGCAGCTGTGGGATGGACCAAGAAACCATTTGGGATCCATTTTGGGATTCCTCCAGTTGAACCACTGTCAACAAATCTTGGACCTGCAGTGGCTCTAAGTTCTGATTCCTTTGCTGGTGAAATTCTGAAGTTTGCCGCCGACAGCAGGTCTTCTACTACTTCTTTGTGGTCCTTCCAAAGTTCGGTCTTTGGCTGGCCTTTCCGGCTGGTGTTTTCGTGTTTCTGGGTGAAGGAAGGGATGCCTGGGCAAGGAAGACTGGGGATGATGTCACAAGGACTCCTGACGCCTACGGAAGCATAGAAGCAAAATGCCAGGCTGTGGCGAAGTCGGGTGTGCACTACTTGATGGAGACGGCGGGCATTGTGGGGGGTCTCAGTTGGTGAGTCGCCGTCAGTTGGCCTGTCTCAAAAGAGATGGCCGTTGGCGAGAGACGTGTTGTGGGGTGCTGAGGTTTAGCTTCTGAAGCGTTCGGCCAGTTGCCATGTCCTTCGATGATCAAAACGAAGATGGCTTTCGGCCCAACTGATTTGGACAGAAAAGCAGAGAACTCACCACCTTGGGTCATTCGTCCAAGGCATAGATCATATTATTGAATTGGAGCCCCCTCAGTTGGCCAGATCGTTTGGGGTGCCGGGCTGCACGTTTGGATATCAAGCATCGAGCGTTTGGATGTTTGGATTCACTGCAGGTGGACATGATTGTCAATGCCATGGCCCTGACGTTTGTGCTGGAGGTTGATGAGATGGCCAGGAACTCACAGATCCCACTGCCCCAGCCACAAGCCTGTGGACGACAGTCCTTCTCCAGGCCAAAGTGGCCTGGAGAAGGTGGGGAAAAGGAGCGACTCCTAGTGAGAGGCTTCACTGCCAAGCCTTGGTCAACATCCTTTTTGCGTTTTTCAAGTCAAGATAACCAACCTCCCTCATGGATCCAAAGTGTCTCCTACTAGAGTCGTTGAAATTGAAGCCCTTGACATTTGAGATGATCATGATCACCGTATGATCACCATCACCCATTTCCGTTGACCATCCGTACCTCCACCGGACCGTGCTTCTGTCTTTTGGACGGGCCTTGACGGACTGATCTCGGCCTCGACTGGCGAGGTCTTCCATCGCTTCACGACCTCCCTGACGAAGCACATCATGAAGCACATCATGAATAACATTCAGGTGAGCTGTGGTGGCCTCGTTGCATCATGTTTCACAATGCCCAGGATGTGGGATGGTAACTCCGACCTCCAAGGGTTTGACTGTCACGCGGCCCAAAAGAAGTGTCCTGTAATATGCAATTGGATGGAGAAGACTTCAAAACAGGGGGCAGGGTGTGGGTTTAGTAGGTGTTTCCTCCATCTACAGTCATCTATAGATGGAGTAGACTTCAGCCATTTGTCTACCGTCATCTGGAGAAGTCTACTCCATCTATCAGGAGAAGTGGCCCCCTGCGTCTCGGCCATGCACCGCGAAGTGGCCGAGTGCTCGGACCTCGGCGGCCGTTCGACGCGAGGACCTTCCCAATTTCGACACCAATATGGAGGACTCAGAGACAGATCAGCAGGCCAGAGTCATGCCATGCCGGATCCCGCCACGAGCAGTAAGGAACCTCAGGTTTTTTATTCCAGGAAGGCTATGATGGTCTACAGTTTTAAGTCGAACTGGAACCCGTGGTGACCTAAACTTTCGTGCTTGGGATTTTCTGGATGAGGTGTCCAAAAAGCCGCCCAAAAGGTGATGAAGGGGGTGCGGACATATCCTTCTTCGGTTTTTGGCGCCACACGCGGCGGCACGTGCTGCGAAACACCATGCGAGATTTTCAGTTTTAGCATGTCTCAAAAGCACGCGGCTTGGGCCGTAGATGGGTGATTCGTTGGGTGCCAAAAGCAGGCCCTGGAGAGGTTCAAGGCCGAAGAGTTTGGGACCAAGGGTCGGGAGGCTCAGCGAGCTTCCGCGGAGCTTGGTTTGGGTCCGCTGCGGACCAGCGTCGTGGAAGGCATTGTTCGAGGGCTGGCTGGGACGGTCCAAAGCTCAATTTGTTTGGAGACAGGAGTTTGAACGGTGGCAACGTTCAACACCTTTGTCTTACAGTTTTGGTACGTTCTTTTTTGGCCCTGACTGAGGATGGGGCAAGTTGCTGATGTGCATTCCCTGGCGTCTGATCTTTGTCTTGGTGCTGCAGGCCCCCATTCGCCAGCTCCCAAACTTCCGCTTTCGGAAGTTTTGGAATCGACGTTTCGACGGTGCGAAACGAACACGACATCGCCATAGGCCATAGAAAGATGGACACCCTCGAGGCCTCGAGGACCCCAAAGCCACGGTGGTATTTGGAACCGCGTGCGGTCGAACCCGACCGCGGTTCCATCGGCCAAGCCGGTGCCCAAGCCGTGAGTGAAGGCGCTCTTCGTTTGTGACTACTACCACGAGAACTGCCAGCATCTGGAGGACGAAGCTGATGAAACTCAAGGGGACACCAGGATTTTTGCAGTAGCAGAGAAGCTCCCAAGCATGTTGTTACAAGACTTTTTGTTACAGAGAAGTCTTGTTCAAAGAAGCCAATTTCTTCAATAGCATGTTGTTCAGAAAAGCATCACGAATGTCCGAAAGCGAGCGCAGTTTCCTCGACATGGTGACATGGTTTCATAAAAACTGCCTCTCGACTGGACCGGCCAGATTCTACACGCAGAACCTTGCTGGATTCCAGGTGCGAACACATGGTTTGGCGTTGGAACTCCAGATTCAGGACGTCCTGTGCAACAAAAAGGCACCGGACGACCATTGACCAGCCCACCGACCGACCGGGAAGAGGAAACGCTGGGTCGAAGCGGCTCCGACCGTGAGGACGGCAGCTGGGTCTCGAAGGAGCTGCGCTTGCCGAAGGCCCAGCACGATTTCGTGGGCGTCGTGGGTAGCTGGATTCTTTTGGTTGGGGTCCGGTGGGAGGGTGGGTTGGTTTGTGATAGTTTGTTGAGTGGGTGTGTGGATTAGTTTGTTTGCTCGGTCGTGTTCGTTCACTTCTTTCTTGCTTTATTTTGTCATTCTTTGTCGCAAGAATGGATACTACCTCGAAGAGGTATCAGACGGGAAATGCTCACAAAACACGGGTAGATCACAAGTTTCAAAGTATATAAATATATGCAGTAGAGAAATGCAGCAAAGTACAGTCATAAAGCATTTGTGAGTCTAGCGCCTAGAAGAACTGGACCATATCGTGAGACTAACCTTGGGTGGTCAGGTGCTTGCGTATCGGCCCATCGAGCTGATGTTCGGCCTGCTGTCCGGCTGCCCCGGAGCGCCGTTGCTCCGCGGATGGGGTCTGTGGAAGACATCCGTACAACAGGACGCGTGGCATTCATCACTCAGACCCGAGTTCTTCGGGATCAGACTGGTTCCTTGGTGTGTCCTGACATGAGACCTGGTCCCGTTGAGAACCGAAGGAGGTTCCTCTTTTCCCGTAGCGAAGGGTGTCTGTTGAGAAGGACGTGTGGGTCGGGGTGGATGTGTTTGCCTTGTGAGGTTTCGTATCTGGGGTGTCGTCACAGGCTCGTTCTCCTTTACTTTCCTTCTTCTCTTGATTCCCTATCGGGCCCTATCGTAATGTTTTCTTTCTCTGGTCTTTGTTGCTTTCACTTTTGATAAATTGGTTTTCAATCTTTGAGTTAGTGTTGCGGTGACTATAGGAAGGTAGAACAGGATGAGATACTGTCTGTAGGTTTTTGTGGCACCGTTTAGAGAGCAGCCTTGTATTGGGTGGGCAATCATTATCTTCTTTTTGGCTCCTTTTTACTTGATGACATGGGATTTATACAAGGACACAAAGGGGACAAGGGAGATGTGTGAGTTTCCATGTCTTTTTTCCCATGTCATCCGAAGGTAGTATATATAATCTATAGTTTCTTCAGTTCCACTGAAGGAACTATAGAGAAATCACGACCGCACAAAAAGTTCCCCAAACACAACGTTTTTCCAGTCCCACTAAAGGAACTCTAGAGAAACCACCACCGCAAAAAACATTCCCCGAACGCAGCAAAAAATACCCAAATAAAAACGCACCCTTAGCTTTTTGGGCAGCCATACCAAACATCCTCTTCACCCGGTCGCCTTCAAAAAAACACATTCAAAGAGTTCGGTTGACCTGGTTTTGTCGTGCAAAATCCTTGGCAAACCATGAGTTATTTAGGATTCGGTCCATTAAATCAATGCCGGGCCAGGAATCCGGCTTCACTCCTTCGTTCCTTTCAATGCGCCGGACGGCCCTGGCATCCCAGACGACCGAACGCACCACTCGAGGTCCACCGATGGAGATCCGGTTTGGAAGATGCCGCAGGGGCATCCCACTCGGGGGGGAGACGGTGTCTGGAGGTGTGGGAGGTGTGGGCAGCACTGGTGTCGGACGGAAACACCCGCAAGGTCATGAGTGTTCAGCGCAGATGGAAGGTCATGAATTGGGAGGTGGGCGGTTCGTAATGGTTGGTATCGAGCTTAAAACAGTAGAGCGGAACCGTCTTGGGTGCTTAGGTACCAATAGTGTAGTAGGAAGCCTCCTAGTCTGTAGTCGTACCGTCGGTTTTTGTTTGTGCTAGTTGGGCAATCCACCACCGACTATGGGCAAATGGTGGTAAATGATGTGCAACGTTTTCTCATACTACCAATCTCAAACCTAGACGATTAGTCGAACATTTGTTGTTCCATGAAACGTATTGGTGGATGCATCGATTGCGATGGACCCAGAACTTCAATACGCTGCGCTGTTTCACAGCCTCCCAACAGATTCTCGCTCGTCGTTCATGGCTGTGCCATGCTGTGCCTAGGTCTGATTGAGTCTGCCAGTCAGACAGCATGAACTGGTCGCTGGTGGTCTTCGAACTTCCAAGCTTGGGATCGTTTGCACGGTCAAAATGATTTGTGCCGAAATGGTCACGTGGACCTGGAACATGGAAAGACCTTACCTTTTTTCTTTTTTCTTTTTTGACCGGACGTTAAATTATAGTTTCTTGGGACCTGAAACATGGTAGTTTCACTGCGCTGACCTCTGAAATTGGAGGTTTGTCCATAGACTCGTAGGGATTAGTTGGGTTGGACAGCACTCTGCTGCCCACCCGCGCCGCGCCCAGCAAGTTCTGCTGGAGTTTGTGTTGGGTCTCCCAAAAAGAATCCGTGGACTGCCGTGGACTGAGGGTAAAGGACTGGTGGGTGAAACACTTTCAGCGGGAAGTCTCAGGACTGGGGAAGTCGGATCATTCCGCAAACGCCGCTGGCGCCTGGCTGGCCGTCCGCTTGCAGCTTCAGCTCACATGCCACGCAGAATCGACAGGAGAAGACGGCATGTCTTATAGATTCTTCAACAACTACTCCTTTCAACAACTCCTTATAGCTTAGACTGAGACTGGCAAGATTCTCATGACCTGTACGCCTGGGTGCTGTTTAACAGCACGAGGCTTCAGAGAAGCGTTTGCAGTGTTGTCTAGAAAGTGCTGGATCTTTATACAGAAACATGTTTGTCAGCAAGCTTGAGAAGTGTTCGGCGGCTTGCGCGGCGAGTGTTTTGCAGGCCTCCTTTGCTGAGGACGGTTTTCGTCAACATGTCCCTTGATGCTTTAGAGATATGGTTCTGAGTTTGAAGTCTCATTCACTTCATCAAGGAGCCTCCCAGTGGATTCAGACCCAGTGGTCCTTTCCTCTACTTTCCCCTACTTTCTCTACCAGTCCTCCAGGCGGTCAGCTGCTTGAGCCCTCGAGTTTTTTCTTCCAGGCTCGGTCCGGCGTCGCCACAGGGAGATCTTCGAGGTCAAGGGGGAAGGTTTGACGCAGAAGTTGGACGAACTTGCTACCGTTCTGACTCGACCTTTGACCGCCTTTTTAAGGAAGGGCTATATATAGTAGTTTTTGACATGAATCATATGACGCACATGTCCTTGGGAACACTAAAAGATCGAATTTGGCAGCTGGAGACACTCAAGAGTTCCGTGAAGTCGAGCTGAAGCGAAGCAGCGACACCCCATCCGTTGCCGCGACTTCTACGAGATGGACGACGTGAGTGACGTGGAGTCGGTCTTCCAGTGGGGCGATGCACCTTATGAAGAGCAGAATGCGTCAGAGACCTGGGGCGATGTGGAAATGGCTTCAGGCCGGGTGGGCGGACTGGCCGACACTCCTGGTCTGGACCGGGGTGGACAGCAAAGCAAACGGCGGGCAGCTTGAAACTCAACCATCTACATTTATGGTGATCGTAGGTGTACCTGTGAAGGATCTACGAAGGTAAGAAGGTCAGGATGCCGCGTCTTGAAGTGACAGGAACAATACTGGTCAGGTCTTGGTGTGTCGCGAGCTTTTTCACGGCCACTTTAAGTGGGCAAAATTGGATCCCAACGTTTCCTTCACTGCAGGTCCTCCCGTGAAACATACCTTTGTCCACTACAGCATCGGCAAGCGCTGCCGCCGCCGCTGCCGCTCGGCGCCTCCCGGGTGCGGCACGGCGCCTCCTGGGTCCGCGGCTGCGGCCGTCCGCGCGGAGGAGAAGGTGGAGAAGCGTGTGGCGATGGATGGCAAGCTGTATAGCTCAGCAGAGTTTGAGCAGTATTATGGTGAGGATGGGAAGACATTCTGGAGTCAGGCCAAAAGAGCTTGCTCCTATTGTTCAACTTTTAAGTTGATCCGAGATGGCTTTTACAACTTCCCCGGCCTTGTGGCGACCTTTGGAGAAGAAGTTGCTCAAAACATGTGGAAGTGGAAGAGGCCTGTGGACTTGGAGAGGCTGCGCTGGCGAAAACGCAAGGAGCTTTATGACAAAGTCCCATCCGTTTGCCGCCATGTTGGTCGTTCCTGTCCGCTCGAGGTTTGCCATCAACCACCTTGCGTGCACTTGATGCATGGCCTTTGCAACCGCCATGGCTGCAGCCTTTGCCATTGTCAGGGCCCGTGAGAGACGGATGCATCGGGTGCCGCCATTGTCCAAGGACGGAAAAGAGGCGATTTCGGACGCGACTCGGTTGAGAGCGACGCAGTCTTTGTCAGGCGTCTGGTTGTGTCTTTTGTGGTACAGTTGCAAGATGCATCCGCACGCGGATCACTCTTTTGCCGCCAGGTTTTGCCGCTGGACCTGGCAGCTCTTGAGACAAAGTGAAGAGAGCATTGCAGAATAGTCTGATGGAAACTTAGAGGTTCACACTGCTAGCTTTTTCCGACTCCTGACCAAAGCATTTCAACATAATTTAGTGTTTGCTGGCTGAGCCTGGACATGTCATGTCAGAGTGGACTCTTTTCTGCGTGTTTAACATGGAGGTGGGCCCATTGATGCATACTATTCAATCAGCCTGGTGTTGCTGGGACAACCTTGGTGTGCATCCTACTGACAAACTTGTCCCTTCTATTCTGCTTGGATTTCGCATGATGTCGCCCTCTCCATTGCCTGCTGGTCAAAGCTTTCGGCTCAAACCTTTCAGTTCGCCTTACCGGTGGGCATCTCTTGGTGCCCGTTCTAATCGAACCCTTCCACATCAATGGAGAGACTTCTTGGTCTGTTGATTTGGGCAGCGTTCACTTTGAGTTCCCAAGCTGAGACCTGTGATGCCTCTCTGGAGGGAGCAGCCTGTGCTCCGGCTCTTCTGCAGAAACTCGGATTTCCCCAGCCGGGAGATCTGAGCCCCCGATGGCCCCGATGGCCGTGTGTCGTGTGTCGCTTGGTGCTTTCAATCGGATGATCCGATTGTCAACGGCTTTCAACACATTTGCGGTTGGAGAAAATGACCGTATACAGTACAGTATAATATATATAGATAGATAGATAGATAGATAGATAGATCTTCAACTACCTTTTTCTGCTAAGGTGCCTCTCCCAGAGTGAGCGCACATGTCTAGTGCATCCCCAAAAGGCATCAAAAGGCTCACTTTCCAGCTCCTTTGCGTTGCCATATCATCTCCAACATCCCCCAGCCGCCTTTTCAGGTTTTTAGGCTGTCAGTCTGAGGCCGCCGTTCGATCGTGACTCCCCCGAAGCTTGGCACCCCAAATCCGCCCCGCGAGAGACGTGCGCGGAGACCGCGGGAGACCTCAGGAAACAGCTGGCTCAGGGGCAAGTGGAGGTCAACATTTCCGAGGAGCTCGGAGAGGCTTCCGCCGCACAGGAGGGGGAGGATAGGGGAGGGGGAATGTGCTTCTTGAATGTTGAGAGATGTATGGTGCAGCGATCTTCTCACAGTGGGAGGAAGTCGAACCAAACCGTCGTGGCTGAAAAAAACAAAATTAGATACGCCCAGCGATGGAGACTTGGAGGATGTGAGCCATGCGCTGGTGGCACGCTCCGCCCGAGCAGGGCGCCAGGACCTTTCGAGGACGCAGGAGTTGCTGGTCTCCAAGCGAGCTTTCCAAGTTGGGCTAAGACTGAAAGGGATTGAATTATTTTTAGCCGGTGTTGTCTACGGGCATTATGATCATCCCCCTGAGATTTGTTTCCGGTTGAAACCCTCAACCCTGGGTCTTTGTTGACTTCCAGTGCCTCTCGACAAGAGAGCCTTTTTGGGGCCTTTCTCGAAAGCTGCTTTGACCAAAGTTAAAGTCTTTCAAAATTAAAAGAACCCAGGCCCTCATTGTGAAACCGTTGCGAGGTCGAGCACTGACTGGTACTGCTAATTTACCGAGCCAAGAAGATTTAAGATTACGGAATAAGTTAGAAGGATAATTCGTTTATACAAGTTATACAACCATTAAATATACTTTTATGACACTTTCATATACTCGCACTTTTTGTCTTTTTCATGGCCAAGTCGTTGTCTCAAAAATATCCTTTAAAGACCAATTCTTCGACTCTTCCACCCCTTTGTTCGGATCCCTTCGACCGCCGCTGGTCGTCCTCCAGGTTGGATTCGGTGGTGTCGGCCAAGATTTTTGACGACATCGCCGATGGCTTTGAATCCGCTGCCAACGCCGTGGCTGATGTGACCACGGACATTGGAGAGGCCCCCGCTGGTGCGTATGTTTGTGGCCAACAAGTCGTGTCGGATGCGGACACTCTTGTGTGGTGTGTGGAGTTAGGTAGGTAGGACAGATTGGAAAGAGTTCCTTTTCTTCAGTAGTGAGTTGAGGTGCCTAGGCCTGCCATCCCTACTCCCGTCCAAAGCGGATTCACCCATTTGTTGACGATGGACCGAGCAGATGCCTTTTTCGGCGCGTGACCGAAATCGCGGGGGGTCCAATAAATTGTGACAATGGATCCGAAAAAACATTCACGCACAAATCATACAAGAGCAATAGAATAACAATTCCCCCCTTTCAACAAATTCTACCGGGCGCTTCAAGTGTCTCGAAAGATCCAGATCCAGACATTACTAGACAGCATTTTGGTGCGTCTTCCAGTCTCCCAGGGTGTGGTCAGCGTCGGGCTCACCGTGGGCGATTATGTGGGCAATGCTGCGACGGTGGTGGGCAGCTCCATCGTGGAGGCTGCAGAGACCACCGTGGACGCACTGCCCAGCGAGATCAAAAGCGCCGCGCAGCGTGGCGAAGTCAAAGGGGTGCTTCCTGGGACGCACGTGTAAGATGAAACTCCTGCTGTATATTTGTTCATCTTGAGGTCTGACAAGGAGGTTCATCTTATGGCCCACCAGTGATCAGAGATTTTTGGAGAGATTGCCAGGACTTTGATCGGGGTGAAGCAATGACAATATTTTCATATATGTTCTTTTTCACCATCGCTGAAGAAGCTACCCTCCGACTCACTCTTAGGAAGTGGAAACCACCCATGAGTTCATTCACTTCCATGTGAGTGAGTCGGAGACTTCAAGTCCATGGGGCCATAGCCATCTCCTTTCTCCAGCGGAGCTGGGAGACCCGTGAACATCTCACGGGCTCCTCGACCCTGGTAACGACCCCCGATCAGGGCCGGTTGCGACCGGTTCTTCCGGGATGAATCCGAGACGAAATATCCAAAGAAGTGTTTTTTGACATGTGGCAGTTGGGTCTCTATATGATGTGACCTGACTAGCGAGGTGGTACACCCTAGTGGATCCGGAACTTGACTCTGTGACAGTTTGATTGGTTGATGCTCTTAAGGGTTTTGATGTCGTTGTTGGTAGCAAAGGCGTGGTCGGTTTGTTGATCCTGCCACTGGCCTGGGTATGAATCCAACCACAGGGCCTCCCAAACACCAAGAAAAGAAAGAGCATCGAAGATTCATCGAAGGGTTATGGAGGTATTGCCGCGAAGTGAGACCCCCAGCATACCTCTCGGATTGCACGCCTTTTGCCTGGGAGCAAGAAGCACTAGGGGCTCCTGGCCTTACTAGTAACAAAGGGCATCGCTGGAAGCAAGAAGCCAAGTAGCCTGGAATCGAACCCTTCCGACTCCAAGCCCCGGATCGATCATCGACTCCCTTGGAACGAAGGCGCCGGTCTTCCACCGGACTGCCCGGTCGGGAGTCACGAAGTCTGGCAGTCCATCGTGTATCGCCTTGGCTTTTCGACCGAGCGACCGGGGAGGCGAACGGTGAAATACAGGCTCATTGGGGGGGTGCTTTTGGTTGGTTGTAAATTTAGGGGTCTATGGTTGGAGGTTGATTTTGGGGTATTTGCAGTGTCTTTTGAACGTTCTAAAAACTTTCAAATGGTTTGAAAAGCTTCTGAGGCAAAGCTTGGGCAATGCGGTGGTCTCCACGACTCATTTCGTTGCAGATGTCGGTGAAATGGTCGCGGATGGAGCCGTGGACTTGGCCGGTGATGCGCTCCAAGTGGCGCAATATGCGGTCTCCCAGGGAGCGACCCTCGGTTTGAGCCGATGGTCGAAGGTTGGGAAGGCGCACGAAGCGCACGAGAATTCAGGTGAGATATGTGGATTTGGCGAGATACATCGCGGTTGGACTAAGACTGTCTGGAGAATAGATCCGAGCTTTCTCTTTGGAGAGACCCAAAAGATAGCTGTTGGCCATGAAGGAATCAAACTATTATGACTGTGACTTCACTGTCTGAAGTGTGTTGCTTTGAGACACACCCCTCGCTTTGGCGTGGAACATCGTGCTACCAGAAGTCTTGTTGATTAGACCGTCTAAACTGACTGAACTGAATTTCAACTGTGCTACCGAAACTCCCAACTCTACAGGTAGCAAGGAGCTTTTGACTCCAAACTGGTTTGAAACTGCTCAGGAAAGTTGGGAGCAAATTGGGAGACAAGATCTCTTCTGCGGCCAATGCACTGGGTGGCGAGATTGCCAAGCTCGGGGATTTGGCCGTGGGACTGGCCAAGGCCTGATACGGGCACTACGAGTCACCAACGCGTGGCGGTTGGGGAGATGGTGGAGTTCTGGGGTGGTGCTGGGTTTTGGTGCGTTGTTATCCTTTTCTCCGGTTTTTTCCTCCTTTGGAATTTACACTCATTACAGTATATCTCCTAGGAGCTAGGAGCTTCTTTTTGGTGGGCTATTTTTGTATGCCCTCCTCGAGGCCGCCTGGGATGAGATCAAAAAGTTCATCAATTGCTTCACTCAAGCCTTCTCTCTTTGCAACATCCTCATCGGGCACTTTTGCGACTGCGAGCGTGGCAGCTCCGTCTCCATATCCACCTCCGGATTGGCGATGACATGCAGTTTCAAGACAGACAGCGCCGCCCGGACTGGATGAGTGGGTGCACGCCAAACCGGCCCAGTTCGTCCTCCGTTCGGCTCAAAAGGCGTGTCACCCAGGCGCAAGCGGTTCCTTCTCCTCCGTGGAAAGCAATGAAAGAGGTCAAAGCAGGTCCCCCAGACTGAAGCATCCCGGAGCCGTTTCGGGCTTGTGACGATACTGTTACCTTGTTGCCGGGCTCGCGCAGGGTTCCGTGGGTTTCCCCAGATTCAGGTTCATTGAATATCACGGTCTCATCATGTCTCATCTATATAGGCCCAGGCCCTGTTTGCCAGGGTTGGCTGGATAGGCGCTCTCGTTCGCACTCAGGATC